CACTTGGTCATGCTATGGTAGGTATCGGAAACACCATGAAAGTGATGGCGGACCAGCAGGCATCTGTGCTGCGAGACATGAAGACGGTCCAAGAGAAGCAAGCTGATGCGCTCGCGGCAATGGCCGGTTCGCGAAAGGCAGCGCCGAGCACGTCTCGTCCAGGTCGACGCACCAATGCGGAAGATGAGATGGACATCGACGACGGCGAGTTGGCTGACGACGAGGAAGCGGCGATCCCGATACCGTCGAGGAAGGGCAAGAAGCCGAAGCTACAGGGTCCTCCTGTTGAGCAAGATCCGCAGCGAAAGAAGTTTCTGGTACGCTCCAATTATGAGGGCGTGTATGGGATCTGACACTCGTCGCAGAAGGCGGTGCGTACACTCGCCAAGACGCTGATGAAGGGCACCGGTGAGGATGACTCCGACTCGACGCGGCTCCCCACCAAGGAGGAGCTTCGCGACTTCAACCCTTCGTTCGGTAGATGCTGCACAGCGGACAACTTTCGGCCGGACCTTGTGGGCATGCCACATACGCCCTGGAACCTCTCCGTCGCCGAAGTCTTCGCAGAAGAGTTCATCAAGCAGAAGGTGCATCCGTGCCGCGATGAGGTGGCGATTAAGAAGAACTTCTTGCGGCACCTCGGATATCTACGTTCACGATACATATTGCGGACCAAGCCACAGGAAGTACGAACGGAAGCGCGGAAGAAGCATAACCGCGAACAACGGAGACGCCACGTAAGTGCGCCGCCGGTGATGTATCATCCTCATTTAACATCGCCCGCCGTAGTTATTCTTCCGCCGTTGCGAGGCGTGCGCTTCCCATCCCAGCGCGAAGAAGCACTTGCGTATGCTCCAGCTTCTTGGCGCCGACGCGATGAGCTCGGATGAGTCTTCAACTGAGAACGGTGATGCCGTGTACCTTGTGTTGAAGAGGAGCTGGCGCAGCCCCATTCTCGATGCGTGGCTCAGGGCGTTCGACTGTCTCTATCGCCGCATGCGCCGCCACCCCCTCGGCGGTACCACCCAAGGCGCCCAGGTTCACGCTCGCAAGCTCTGCCAGAAAGTGGACGATCGGCGAGACCCCAAAAGCGGTTTGCCTGTCAATGCGTACTCGGCGAAATGGCTGGCTACGCTGACTCAATACGACCGTGCACGGCTGGAGATCGACCTGAAACCGTACGACTTTACTCACGCGCCTGAGATCAACGAGTATGTGCGCAGTCGATCATTGTAGTGGGTAGAACGCGCTGATTTCGTGCTACAGGATCGCTACTGCGAACAACGGGACCGTCCTTTCGGGAGATTTGTACGTGTAAGCCCTCAAGCGTTGTCTCAGTCCAATCTGGGTCCCAGTACGATCACACTTTCCGCCCCACGCGGATGTATCTCGCACGGAACCACCCTCGCACTACGCCCGAGCAGCCCCCGCTCCCACTCAATCGTTCATCTAAGGCCTCACTGGCCGTGGTGACCGTCAAGTATGCCCTACCCCCATGCAGGGCGTGCGCGCGTGTGTTCGGGGGCGAGCTCCTAATTGTTTCTCGCAGGACGACATCTCTGCATACACATTCCTTCTTATTTTTGATTTCACATCCATCCCCGCTCCTTTAACCTCCCGTTATAAGCCTCGATCGCCCCGCCGTTATAAGCCTCGATCGCCCCGCCGTTATAAGCCTCGATCACCCCGCCGTTACAATGCCCTCGTTCGCCTCGCTTTTACATGCTCCATGAGCTCCCTCGTTATACAGTACCTCATATCACTCACCTTTACATTATCGCTGATCTCCTGGCAACTGCTGGGACGTAATATTGTCCATACGTCACACCGCGCTGGCGTGATCGTTGTGCCTAGTACGAAGAACAGAGCTACTACATACCCACACTCATTTCATACTCGCGGTATCATTGTTGTTGCGTTATTCATACATGTATTATTTGATTTAATTCACCTATTCAATGCTACGCGCTGCAGCAACAAACCCGACGAGCGGAGACGGTGGGCTACGGCGACCAGTGGGCGGCTGTGGCCACGAACGTAGTTGCCAAACGGGGAGAAGTGTGAGCCTAGCGCCCGGGAGTGAGTGAGTGCCACCGATGCACGCATTTTTACTCCCGCCCTCCACCTCTGTCTGGCAGCCTCCGCCCCGCATCCCGTTCCGACTCGGCGACCACGGCTGCCCGGAACAAAACACTGCAGTGCGATCTTCTAAGCACGCAAAAATCCCCTGCGTATCATCGTACGGTGGCGCTGGTCAGTTATCTGTAACGGGGACGACCGGCGATCCACGCGGTTCACGCGGATCTCGTGTACGGCGTCGCCTTCGGATGTGCACTGCAGTCAGGCGGTGAGTACCTTCGCTCGCAATATGCCTGATAGCCGCTGACAAGATGATGCGCACGACAGGTATCGCTGGGCCCTGGCGCTCGGAGCGCGGCTCCGTCATCGTGCGCGGCTGGCGGCGAGTGCGTCTGCGATTTGGCCTATCGGAATGCCTCAAGGCTCGATCCAGCTCCCCGAGTGCATCGCTCAATGCCTCAAGAGTAGACGTCGTGGAGATGGCTAAGGGTCGTCGTATGATTTACATCTGTCTGTGCGCGGCAGCGGGGGCGGACGGTTGGTCCTTCGCCACTTTCGCGCGGATGGGCCGTCTCCCGACGAGACCGCGATGCCGCTCGTGGGGGTAACGCCGCTTCTTTGGCAATGCGAAGCATTCGCATGACTCAGACAGCCCAGCCCCGATGTGGCGGGCGCCCACATACGCGGATTTGTTTTCCTCACGGTTTCCGCGGTACGCCCTCAAACCTATTTCCTACTTCACAGATACTCGTCATCAGTAGTCTATGGGCGCTCCAGAGCGCGAGCGTCCATCGACCACTGTTAGCTGCTCTTCCACTTGGTTTTCATCTGGTGCATAGATTTGGGATGCCGTTACGTATCCGCCGTTAGGAAAATTTAGTTGCGCGATTGACTGGAACGCAGGCAGGCTAGTTGAGTACAGAAGTGTTTTGCGGGCAGAGCCTTGTAAGGGAGATGTAACTGTGTTATGAACAAACAAGTTACGCAGCAGCGTTCCTGTGAATTCACAGCCGTGTCGGGGCCGGGGGATCTCGAAACGCGAGCCATCTGCGACGTAATTCCTACTGCACATGTTGTAGCTCGCAATTCTTCTCGCTCCTCCCTTGCGTCCGTTTGACTACGCCTCCACATCTATCATTGCATGACAACATGAAGCTACCGCTTGCTGTGCCCGGTCCTCGGGACCAGCGGATCTCGTCGGGCACATCATGGGGCAGACAGTTTGGAATGTGTCACCCTGGAGATGGCTACACGCACTGTACAAGACGATCTACTTTTCTGGCGTAGGTCGGATGTTCTCTGCATCTGATATAGTCACCGCACTATAGCTCTGTAAGCCTGCTTCTCGCGATGGCTCTTGACACTGCGTTTCCGATGTAAATCTGCGAGGGTCCGGTCAACGGTCAGCTGGAAGAGCGGACATCCGTGTAAGCAGCCATGAAATCTACCCACGCCGCCCAATCGATGTCGCGATAGCGGCAATCCCCGTTTCGTTCACAGAACGCCCAGCTCGTAGTATGCCGCACACAATGCAAGCTCATTTTGGCCTATCGCGTGGGTCGGGGATGGCTAGCCGCTACATAAGCTGACCAGAACGCGATCCCACCCTTTCCCCGTCTTCCCCCAGTCTCCCGGGTGACTTCATCGTCCAGCGTATATACTCACCAAACTACGCACCCTTCCATACGATATCCCTCCTCGCCAACATGGTTGATGTGCCCGACGGTCCTCGCAACGAGCCTCGCACCCTCCAAGCTCGGACGGCTAGGAAAGCGGAAGTGAGCAGAACGACTTTCGAAGTCCACTGTCGTCTCACGTATCAGTAGCTCTTCGAGGCGCGACACTCTGTCGTCATGCAGGGGATCCTGGAACATCACAAGGAACTCTTGGACCGCCTTTCGACGCAAACCCTGAACCGCAATATGGGTGATGGTTCTCTCACAGGAGGCCCGAGCCCGTACCGCTTGGTCGAGGCGCAGTGGCAGAGTCCCGTCATGAAGGAATTTGTTCGCGCCCTCGACGCTCACTACGGTAATCCCTTCAAGATGGAAATGAGAGGTACGCCATTGCGCATCCACGGCGAGGCCCTACTAAAGTAAATATTGGTAGACGGCGACGCTCCCCCTGTGGGGCTGTGGCGCAACTGCTACAGCGAGGGCTGGCTGCAACAATTGACGCCCTACGACGTATCGGCTCTGCACATTATTGACGAAGACTATCCCTTCCAGCTACCGGACGCCGAGGAGGAAGGCAGAATCACTACTGCATCTGACTAGGACGTCGTACGGATGACCTGAAAGAGGCCGGGTCCTGTAACACGGCAAGGTGAGGATACAGTCTGCTTGTTACCTAAGCTCTCGCTAACATGTTCAACCTACCAGCCTACCTTGGCCGTCAGATGCGCAAGTGAACGTACAATGGACGGGTATAAGGGGAGAAAGGCAGGGGCATAGTGCAGAAGGCGAAGGGTGTGGCGCGGGGGATGAATATTGAATGTATCATGTCTCGTCTGTCGGCTTTAGAACGACGACGTATGAGGCCTCGTTGACCGGAACATACTCTTGACGGCGGAACACATAAGGCATCACATTGGCTATAAGCGAAGAGGGGCCGCGCTGTTTTTGCACCAGGAGAGGCAATGTGCCGGGAGAGTGAGAGGCAGGGGAGACCTTGGGCGACGGCGACGGCCACGGTGTAGCCGACGGCGACTGTGGCCTCCAACGTAGTTGCCAAAAGGGGACAAGCGCGAATCTGGCGCCGGGGAACGTGGCGGACTTGGAGCTCGGCGCGCGGCTGATTCGCGCGTCTCCCCTTTGCTCCCGCCCACCACGTCTACTGCGGTCCAGCAGCTTCGGGATATATCCCCACACCATTCGACGGCTGGGGCAGCTCTAACGGAACGATGCAGCGTACCTCCCTATACACAAACTCTTGTCTCCCTGGTATCATCGCACCCACAGCGGCGCTGGTGAACCATCGGTAGCAGGGGCGACCCGTACGATTCACGCGATCTACGCAGGCGTGTACTGCGTCGTCCTCCGATGTGCACCGCAGCCAAGCGGTGAGTACGTTTGCTCGCATGCCGTCTGATACCCGCTGACAAGATGATGCACACGACAGGTATCTCTGGACGCTGGCGCTTGGAGCGCGGAGCGCGACCCCGTCGTCGTACGCGGCTGGCGGCGAGTACGTCTGCGACTCGACCTATCGGAATGCCTCTCCGTGCGACCTAGCTCCCCGAGTGCATCGTCTGATGCCTCGAGTGTAGACGTCGTGGAGATGGCTGAGAGGGTTATCGTACGACGCATACCTGCGTGCGCGACAACGGGGGCAGACGGTCCTTGGTCGACTTCCCGCGGACGGGACATCTTCCGATAGCGAGGGCTTCACCGCGTGCCTGGTGGTGGGAGTCATGCACATCCATTGGACGATTCAGCATCGACATCGGACTACATATC